GATTTGAACTGCATCTGTGCCCAGGAGCACAGGAGGCTGGGCCTCTGGCAAGCTCTTGCCTTCATCTGCCAACCTGAATAGGGGTGTCTGGGATGACTGTCCTGATCAGCCAGGTCCTCCTCTTGCTCCTCCCCCATCACCCACCCCTGGCTCCCTGCCCCAGCCCTCCAGCCCCTCTGCTGGCACCCAGCAGGTAAGACAATGCGGACCAAGGGGCCGGTAAGGAGACTGTCTTCAGCAGCCATGAGCCTGGGGAGCAGAGCGGATATTGATTTGGTATACGGGAGCAAAGGGACCCGTTAAACGTGCGGCTGTTAAATTGCTCTGCCTGGAGCCAGCCAGCTCTGCGGGCGGGCGGGTGGCCTGGCAGGCAGGCAGCGGTCAGACCAGTCAGCTGCTAGCGCCCTGTTGGGGGTGGTCTTGGACACCTGGCAGGACCCAAGGCAGCCTGGCTTGGACCTTTGCTGCCCTGGTGCCCACAGGCCCCTGAGCTCCAGTCATACCCACCTCTTGGCATCCTCTGAGCATACTTTACTGCCACGACTGTTCTCACACAGACCCCTCCACATCACCTCCTTCTCCATCTCTTAAAATCCTACCCCACTTTCCAGACCCAATGCAAATGGCACTTCTTCCATGAAGTCTTCCTTATTTCCCACTCCCTACTCCCAATACCCAGAAAGGAGTAGGCCTTCCCTCTCCAAATCCCCAAAGCCCCAGGGCTCTGCCTGTCTTCGGCCTCCTGTCTTCTCTGCTATAATAACTAAGAGTTGTGCACCCACTGAAGAAGACACCTGAGCTTCACGTGCTCCCCGTCCCTCGCCCCAACACACACACAGGTGGGGCCTGGATAGCCAGGCACACAGGCGATGCTGAGCAGCTCACCTGGGGAGGGCAGGGTGGGAACGTGGTGGCTGATCTGTGGCCTGATCCTGATGGGCAACCCCTTCCCGGCACCTGCTCCTGGACTGCGCTTGCCAGGCCCTGCAACAGATGTCAGGAACTGCTCAGTCTTGAATTGTTTCCTGTTCCTCTTTTGCAACGCCCTCCAGTGGCTCCCAGTCAAAACCCCCACTCAGTCAGAGGCCACTTTCATCCCTGGGATGCACGTTGTGGAGGCTGAGACCAAGCCCAATGGTTGGAGCCAAGCAGTCCAAGGTTTGAATATCAGCTCTTCCACTAATTATTCTCTAACATTGGGCCAGGCACTTCCCTCTCTGAGCCTTAGTTTCCTCATCAATAAAACAGAGATACTGGGTCATATCCCTTAGAACGGTTGTGAGAATTGGACAAGACAATTGCCGAAGAGGCCCAGAGAGGGCCAGTGGTTGCCTGGAGTCACACAGCAAGAAGCTAGAAAAGATGCAGGATTCCTACCTCCTAACCCCAAACTCCCCTTACCCTGTCCAGCCTCTCTGGGTCTGGGGTTCTGGACCGGAGCCTGCATCATGCTGGGGCCTGGTCTGTGTAACCCAGTGGCTGATCTCTGCAACCTCAGGAACCACAGACCAGCAGCTTGCACAGGGCTGGGCTTTGGCCCCTTGGTTGTTCCTCTGGCCTGGCCAGGCCTCCTCACGGGGCCTTATCTGTCCACTCTCCCCTTTCCCACCAAACTAATCTCTCCCTCTTTTCAGGAGTTCCTGTTTCCTCTCTGCCGCCTTCTTGTCTCCCTCCTCAGGCCCCATCTCTCCTGTGTCTCCAGCCAGCCTCCCACACTTGGTTCAGAGCCGCCTCAGAGTGGCTGGTGCTGTCATCACTGGGGAGTCTCCATCTTTCGGACTCTCTGAGTCTCACAGAGCCCTGTCTGGGACTGCTGCCCCTTAAACGGGAGGGAGATGGAGCAAGTTCTGGGAAGGGAAATCTGCTGGGGACAAGAATTCTGACACTCTCAGATCAGTACGCAGCCTTCAAAATTTTTTGGGTGGGCCATTTGCCTGGGGGCCTCTACAGGGCTGGCAAGGCAGTGGTTTGGGGGTTTCCACTCCACAATTCTTGAGTACCAAGATCTTATGCTTCCAAATCTCTGAACACAATGAGATACTGAGCTACCAGAGCTCTGAGGTCCTGGGAACCTCCATGCCCCTGTGATGCACCTGGCAGAGGCCCCAGCCTCCAGATCCCCGGAGTGGGGCTCAGCCTGGTTGCATTCTTAGAGCCCTGACCTGGGGGCGAGGGGAAGCACTGGGACCAGCTCCCACTGCCCCTCGGTTGTCCAGCTCCTGGCCAGCCAGAAAGGTTCAGGGCTTTGTCACAGATGTGGGGACTGGCCAGTGGCCTGCTGAGTCAGGGACTCCCCAGGGTCTCCTGTCTTGAGCTTGAGGTCTCCCCTCCCAGCCCTCCAGCTCAGCCCAGGAAACTGTCTTCAGCTCTCCATGCAGCTCCCCCGAGCCTGCTGGGAGTGCAGACGTGTGAGCAGGGATGCACCTGTGCTCAGAGCCCCGCTGTGCTGGGAGCTTTCCTGAGGTCTGGAGCGAGCCGCCTTTCCTCGCAGAGCCTCAGTTTCCTCCTGTGTCAATGGTAACGATACTCACTTCGGAGGGCTGCTGTGATGACTTGGGCCAATGTGCTTAGAAGGTCACACAGCAGGTGCACAGTAAATGGTAGCACTTATCTCACGTGGCCACCACCCTTTCTGAGAGCCATTCTTGGTCCCTGGTCTGGTTTCCCTCATTTACTTGTCCTGACAGAGGTCCAAATGACACTCCCAAATCCAGCATTTCGGAGGTAGGTTTTATACCTAGCCCTGTTGTTGTGCTGCCCCCCAGATCCCAGGGCCCATGGGTGCATATGGCTGGTCCCAGCCCATGAAAGGGCCCCAGACAGGTGGGGGAGACAGATGATGTGACACAACACAGCCCTCTTCAACACCTTGGTTCCGCGAACATTGGAGGGAGCACAGAGGCTGTGGGAACCCAGAGGAGGCCCCTGACCCAGGCTGAAGGTAGCTGGGGAGGGCTTCCTGGAGGAGGGAGCCATTTACCTGGCTTTTGCAGAAGAGGGCATTGACTGGCAGCTTGAGAAGGAGGGTGATGGCTGCTTTAAATGTTCAGAGGGTTGTGGGGAGCCTGAAGAGGGGCAGATCCCTTCCACCCAAGGCACTGGGGAAGGTTTTGTGGAGAGGGCTGTGAGGGTTGTGTGCGATTCCAGCAAGGAAAACAGCACTTTTGGTCAGGGAGAACAGTAGATGCCCAGAGGCCAGGCAGGCTGAGCAGCTGGGATTTGCAGGAAATGCTGTTGGAAGAATTGCCTGTGCCTGGGGAACAGGCCTTGTGTTCCAGGCTAGGGACCGGGAAATGGTTTTGTGGGCTAGGAGGTGGCTGAGAAGCAGGGAAGCCCTGGGTCTGGAGAGCACACATTCCAGGGGCTCCTTCCAGGGAGGCTGGGGGTTTTTGACACAGGGGCTGGCAGGGGCCCCACCCGGGGAGGCTCCACCTCCCCCAGCTCCCAGCCTCTTATCAGCTCTGTGACCACAGGAAGGCCCTTCCCATCTCTGAATTTCCTCCTCTGCAAAACACACTAGAAGACTTATCTTGAGGTTCCTTGCAGCTGGTGACTCTGTGGCTCTGGCTGCCCCCACTGCAAGCTTTCAGGCTGGGCCTTGAAGATGGCCACAAAAACCCCCCTTCTTCCCACTCAGGATGGGTCCAGCCCCTGAGGGGTTATCCATGCCATCCCACCCCCAAGGATGTGGCTTCACTTATCCAAATCCTGCGCAAGGCCCCACTCTGCCCCAGCCTCTCCAGGTGGTGTCTCAGTCCTCAGCCGGCTCGGGGAGGGAAGAGCACTGGTCTGAGCCCGACTCTCCGGTGCATGCAGAGATCCAGATTATAACATCCTCTTACACCCTTTGTCTTGTGTGGCTACCCCCCAGCCACAGCAAGATCCAGGTGATGAACCACTACTTCTGTTTTGGGGCCACCTGCTCTGGCCAGGCACTGGGGATACCCCACTTACTCAACTCTTGGTTACTGGTGCTTCCTACATGTGGGAGGTGACGCGGAAGCTCAGAGGGACAGTGATATGCCTGTGGTGATCCTGTTCCCCTTGGCACCCTGTCTTCACTTGGCAACAGCCAGGACCGCCGACCTCCCTCCTGCTTCCCTGGCTGTTCCTTCTGTCTCCGTGTCTCTTCTGAGCTTCATCTCCCCAACCTCCAAGGCAGGAGTGCCCCAGACCCAGGCCTTGGTCCTCTTTACTCTTCTATCCCACACACTCCTTTAGTGATGACACCCAAATGTGGATCTCCAGCCCTGGCCACTTCCCAGAACTCCAGTCCCAAATATCTTCCCGTCCACTCAGTATTTCCACTAGGAGCATAAACAGTGTCACAATCCCCACGGGCCCAAATCTGAACCCCAGGCCTCTCCCCACCCCCATGTCGGCATCCAGCCCCTTCAGCCTTCCAAGTGCTCCAGCCAAAACCCCGGCAGTCATTCTTGGGCCTCCTTCCCCTCACACCCCACATGCAAAAAGAGGACAAATCCTGTTGGCTTCCCCTTCAAAACAGAACCAGAATCCAGCCACTTCTCAACACGTCCGCTGCCGCCAGCCTCCAGGCACGAGGCCTTTCCTAACCTTCAGCCTGCCTCCCCACCGCTCCCATTTTACAAATGGGGAAAATGAGGCTGGCAGAGAGCCCTCCCCAGGGTCATGCAGAAAATCCACCAGGGCTGCCTCCCCGAAGTCTGCATCCCAGCTGCCCAGGGACGGTTTTCCCTTGAAGCCAGCCTAGCAGGCAGGCCTGACAACCCGGCCAGGCTTTGAGCCGCGCATGCATGTGTGTCCCCGAGGAAAAAAGATGCTGCCAGCTGGGTTTATGTTTCACGACGTCTGTCCTCGCCCTTGACCAAGAGATCTTACAGGGAGATCAGGGCCAGGGCCCGGTGTGGGGGAGCGCGGGGGGAGAAGGGACATCAATCGGAAGCCGCCTTGCCTGGAAACCGGAGAGCTCCCTCTGCCAGCCCCAGGGTCTGCCGAGTTCACTCGAGGAGGCCGGGAACTGCAGGGGCGGGCTGGGGCTCACTCAGCATTTATTTCGTACAGCTGCTTAGAAAGCTTGTTTTAAAATAGAGATCATTATATATATATATACACACATATATATTTATATATATAAAATATATAAAGAGGAATTGAGAAGTGCTACCCCAAAGAAAAAGCTATGTTTTATAAATATTTCTGTAGCTTCCACATCCCAAAGGAAGAAAAATCAAAAAAACAAAGGAAAACATTTACAACCCAAGCTAGTGGTTCCATGTGGTTGGCCCAGCAGGCTCCGACCCCAGGGTGGGCCAGGGGGTCCCGCAGAACATTCTGAAGAAGGCGGGCAGACCCGTTCCCGGAGGCTGGTCTCTGTGGCCCTGAAAGGTCACGTCTGTATCAGTCTCACCAATCCCAAGCCCCGCTCCTTAGACCAGCCCATGGGCACTCCAGGACCTCAGGCTGCCAAGTTATTTTTAATCTTGTCGGTTTCCTTTGATGTCCCGGCCCTCCTTCCAGGGTGGCCAGACCTTCTGTTCCTGGTGGCTTCCAAGTGAAGGCAAAGCACAAGCCGCCTCCCATGCCTGGCATCTGGAATTCACAAGCAGAATCCATGGAGTGTCTCCAGACCCCTGGCCCCAGTTGCTGAGGGTCCTTGAGCAGAGTCCTCGCTCCTGCATGGGGCGGAGGGCAGGGCCTCACTTGCAGACATAGCGCTCCACGGTACGCTCACACCTGCGGCAGGTGACGTAGCAGCACCAGTGGTACTTACAGTGGCACCGCTCGACCACGCGGTCTGTGTAGGGGTTGTAGCCACGCCCGCAGCACATAAGATCGCAGCTGTCACTTCCATTGGATGTCTTGTTGCACTGCCTGTTGTGGGGGCAGGAAGGAGGTCAGCGCATGCCTTGGTCACCGACCCACCAACACCCCATGACTCCCAGCCAGGCAGCCGGCAGCATCTCCTATGACTCCCAGCCAGGCAGCCGGCAGCGTCTCCCATGGCCACCGACTCAGCCCTTCTTAGAAGCTGTCTTGATCTTTGGGGACTTTTAAACAATCCTCTTACCTGAAGGTACTTCTAACTTTTCCCTATATTTCTAATAAGGGGTTACCAAAATGATGGAGCTATTTTCTTTTATTTTTTCTGAGATGGGGTCTCACTCTGTTGCCCAGGCTGGAGTGCAGTGGTTGTGATCATGGCTCCCCGCAGCCTTGACCCCCACCTCCCCGCCAACCCAGGCCCCTGGCTCAAGTGCTCTTCCCACCTCGGCCTCCTGAGTAGCTGGGACTGCAGGCACACACCACCATGCCTGGCTAATTTTTTAATTTTTATTTTTGTAGCGATGGAATCCTACTATATTGCTCAGGCTGGTGTTGAACTCCTAAGCTCAAGCAATCCTCCCACCTCAGCCTTCCAAACTGCTAGGATTACAGGCATGAGCTGCCGTGCCCAGCCTTGTTTTGTTTTCTTGGAGGTATCTTTTTTCTATTTCTTCTACTTCTAAATACTGGAAAGACCCTCCAACCAACCTAATAATCCTACCTTTATGGGTTTATGTGTAATTTTTTTTTTTTTTTTTTTTTGAGACAGAGTCTCGCTCTGTCGCCCAGGCTGGAGTGCAGTGGTGCAATCTCAGCTCACTGCAACCTCTGTCTCCTGGGTTCAAGCGATTCTCCTGCCTTAGCTTCCCAAGTAGCTAGGATTACAGGCATGCGCCACCACACCCGGCCATATTTAATGTTTAATTAACTATTATGAGAGATGTAAAGACCATTTGATTTTTAGAATCCTAGCATAAATGCTGAAATACTAGAAGCCCCAGTGGGCATTGGACATGCTGCTCGTGGAGGAAGAGGGGTCTGTTGGCCATGTGCCTCCTGTGGGTCAGGCACTCCCTCCAGTGTCTTATCTTAGTGGAGGTGCTCAGGGCCCTTGGGTCAGTGGTATTATTATGTCCATTATGCAGATGACAACAGGCTCAGCAAAGGGCAGAGGCTTAAACTCGGGGACTAAAACTAAGGCCCTGGCTTGCTCTCCCTACCCTAAAGGGCGGGGCGTGGAAGCCGGCAGGGGCTGCATTTCTTCCCAAATGTGGGATGCGAAGGCATTGAAGGTCCCTATAAAATGCAAACATGCTTCCACTGCTCTCAGTTCTTCTGTCTAGTGACAAATCATCTGTTCAGACTGGTGGCTCCTCTAGCCAGGCTGAGGCTAGACAGGGAGTGTTTTCATGAGATGTAGTTGCGGACAGAGCACCAGGGGGCTGGGGCACTGACAGGGACAAATGGTCCCCACATGTGGACTGAGGAATCTCAGGATGTCCAATGTGGGAAAGTCCTAGAGATGACCGAATGCAATCCTCATATTTACTGATGGGGAAACAGACACAGAAGGGAGAGGGGCCTTGCCCGGGGTGAGTACAAGGTCTTGAGAGTCCAGGAGGGCTTCCTGGAAGAGGAGAGGCCATCTAGGCCATTCATGAAGGAGGAGCAGCACTCCATCGTGCAGAGGAGGGAAGGAGTGCTGGGGTAGAGGGAATAGCCTGGGCAAAGGCAGAAGACAAGGCCTGCCCTCAGAACAGTGAGAGCAGATGGAAGGGGAGAGCTGGAGGCCCGGAGGAGGCTGATCAGTACTGGGGGGAGAGGCCAGACCTGAGCTGGAAGGGGCCATGGGCAGAAGGAGGGGAACATCTGGGGAGAGCCAGCCAGTGACAAGTAAGTGGGGGCTGCCAGCAGTTCCCGGAAGAATACATGCCCCACAGCTGGACAGACCTGGGTTCAAGCCCCAGCTCTGCCACTCAGTGGCTGTGTGACTTAAGGCAAGTCACTGAACCTTTTTGGGCTTTGTTTGGTCACTCAGCATCCATGAGTTCCCCCTCAGCCTTCTCCTGAAGGCTCTGGCTGAGCACTCTACCCTGAGTGGTAGGAAGGAGACAGGGTTCTTTTTTAAATTTCTGGATCCCTGACATGCATTGTCTGAAAACTTGGCCTCCAATGTCAGATTCAGACAAGGCCCAGGTGCCTGGGACCAGGATTGGGGCCAGTGGGGCCACAGGCCCAGGGAAGGGCCATTGGGATGCCTGGCTCCCAGGGCACAGGGTGGCTCAAACTGTGGGTGGTGGGGGATGTGTGGGTTTCAGAGGTGCGAGCCTCTGGAAGAAATATGACAAGAGGGCTAGGGTTTGGAATATTGACTGCAGACTAGGCCTCGGTTTCCCCAGGTTAGATTTGAGGAGGCTGCAAGGTATCTTCCGCAGCGAGGGGGCCAGCCTCTAGAGATACCCCACATGCACACACCTTGCACAGTTCACCAAGCTCACTTACATCCAACCCCCAACCTAATCATCAATCTCACATTTCCCCTCCTCTAGGAAGCCTTCCTTGATGTCCAGGCTGGATCAGGGACCCTCTGGGCTCCCCTCACACCAGGCTTTCCTGTCATGACCTGAGCCCTTGGGGATCCCCCACCAGCACCTACCAGAGCCAGGCAGAGATACAGCTGACCTGCAGTCTCATGTAATGGGCACAAGAAATGTCTGTGGTTGTGAATTACTGAGAAATTGGGGCTGTTTGTTACTGCAGCAAAAGCCAACTAACACAGATGCCTGCAAGGGCCCTCCCTGGGGAAGGACCACAAGGACCACAAGGCAGGAGACCTGTGGGGGCTGCGAAGGAAGCAGGAGGATGGGTGGTGCTGTGGGCGGGGCCTCCTCATCAGGAGTGAGGGGCGACTGGGAGAGAGGGCACAGTGGGAGGGGAGACTGCCCAGGACGGGAGGGGAGAGGGAGATGCTAGGTACGTGTGCTTGGAGATCACACGACAACCCTGTGTGCCCTCCCCACTGTGCGGAAGATAAGCCTGAGCCTCAGATCAGTGAAGGATGTGCTCAAGTCCCCCTGCGGTGCCCTCCCTGACACACGCAGAGCTGCACATGGATCCAGGAAGACCCTTTCTTCACTCTCGGGTCCTCTGTGGGCCTCCTGCAGCCCTCCATGTTCTAGAATCCTCCTCTAACTACCCCATCCCCATCTACCTCAGCCCAGCCTCTGGCTTCTTCCTGTCTCCTTGGCCTGACCTGGTTCCATCTTCCCTCTGTCGACCCCCTCAATCTGGCCTCCAGATGGGAGCCTGGGCCTCCTCACAGAGCCTGCTGCCCTGGCCTGTGGGGATGCAGCCCCCCAGCACACCCCTCCCTCTCCTGGAGACAGGAACGTGGGCTGCGGAGGAAGTCAACGCTGGCTGTGCACCAACTATGTGCCAGACACGTTCCCAGACACCCACTCTCTGGTGCAATATTCTTTTAACCCCGAGAACACGAGTTTTGTGGAATGCTATTAGGGGCTCCTTAATAAAAGCGTTCCGTGGCCAAACACCTCTGGGAAACACTGGCTTAAACAGATCTTTACTGCAGATTCCTCAGAGCCTTTCATATGTTCTAGTGCCTTGTGAATTGCCAGAGAATTTCCCAAAAGCATGTGATGACAGAGCTCTTTCTCTCGTAGATCGGGACCAGCTTTCGCCAGCACCGTCTTCAGGAAATGCTGCTTGTGCAGTCCTCACCAACCCCACCCAGCACACAGTAGGTCTGCAGTCACCCCTGGCTCCCTCACTCTCCTGTCCTGAGCCGACTGCAGCAGTTGTGACTGGGGCTGTGGTAGGGTTCCAGGCTCAGGGTCCCCAAGAGGAGATGGGAGGAGCAGGGGGCCGGGGAGAGGGCTCACAGAGGTGAGGACACAGGGGCAGTGTCGCTGCACGGAATGCAGGCAGACATCGCTCTCCCTCACTCATTGTAGGCTGTCCCCATCTCCCCTGGCACCTCAGTCCCTTTGCTGTGCAACGAGCAGGCTTGTATGGCCTTTACCCTTCATCTGTTCATCTGCCAAACATTTTCTGAGCACCTATCTTATGTTGGGCAGCCTCGTTCCTGTCCCGTCTCCCAGTAGCGTCATTGTCTCTTCCCATCTGTCTCCCCAGCTGGGGAAGGTAGAGCAGGAGCCTCTCATCAGCCTCCATTCACTGGGCCCCTGCCAGGCACAGTGCAGAACAGGTGCTCCCAGCAGCTCTGCAGGGGACCCTAGGACCCTGGCATCTCCACTTAGCAGTTCTGGGGCCAACTCCCTCAACTGAGCAGGGACTCCATTCCCCAAATGCCACCTGAGTCCCTGCTGTGTGCATGGCCCTGAGCTGGGGAACAGTATGTGCAACACGGGTGACCCTTTCCCACCAAGGTGGTGGCAGGCCTCACCTGTCTTGTGTTCCGTGGGAGCCCACCTTCTCATTCTTCATGCAGAAGTCAGGTGAGCTCTGCAGATAGACGAGTTCTGAGTCCTTCACAGGCCGGATATCCAGGTCTTTGGGCACCAGGTGCTTGCGGGTGCCCATGGGTCGGTGCACTACCTTGGTGGCCGACAGGTATCGGGTCTTGAGGTCAGCAGCCACATCTCGTAGCTCCTGCAGCCCCTTCCAGCAGGTGCGGATGGAGCAGGAGCCAGACACCCCATGGCACTTACACTTCATTTCCAGAGAGGCGCGCAGAGCCTGCAGACAGGGGAAGGCGTCAGCTGGGTGGCCAGAGTCCCCTCCCCGGCCTGCCCCAGGACCCCAGCTCCACCCACCCATGGCTGGGTGCTCTCAGGGAGTCACTGCCTGCTGGAGCCTCAAGTGACAGAGCTTTTTGTTTTAAAGCTTGGAGGTGGTGTGGGCCTTCCTGCAACCTTGGGGGACAGCTGAGGGGCAGGAAGAAAGGCATTTGCAGGGATAGGGATGTCATTATTGAGCACCTACGGTACACCAAGCGCTCTAACGCATAATGGAGATTGATCACCACAACAGCCCTTCAAGGGAGGTATCCTTACTTTCCCCATTTTAAAAAGAAGAAACAATAGCTCAGAGAGGCTAAGTCTCATGCCCAAGGGTACAGTCAGAAAATCAAGGAGCTGGGATTTGAACCCAGATCTGAGGGTGATTCCAAAAGTGGTGGCTTTTAATTGTTCCATGCTTTTTCATTCACTAAATGCTTGCTGGAAAGAAGGAAGAAAAGAAGAGAAGGAAGGAAGGGAGGAGGGTAGGAAGGGGAGAAAAGGCAGGGGTGAGTGCAGGGGGCACCTCCCTGCCACCTGGCTGGCTTTCCCCCCACTGCCAGTGCTCCTGCCAGGCCACCCTCAGCAAGCCACGTCACCACTCAGGGCCTCTGTCTTCTTTCGTGCAAAGCGAGCACATAATTCCTGCCCTGCAGAGAGCTGTAAGGATGAAATGAGATGGCACACACAAAAGGGTTTTTTGAACCATAAAAGTTAAATCAATGCTGGTTTTGAAAAATCCATTTAAGTAATAACTATGGCGGAGGCCCCTCGGGCTCAGAGGCTTGGGAAGCCTCTTGCCCTGGCTTCAAAAAGGACTCGGGCCCACCAGCTTCCCTGGGCCTCAGTTTCCCCATTCATACCTGAGGGGCAGAAGTTTGATGCCTTCTACAGGCCTTCCAGTTCTGCCTTTTAAACCCTTCTTTCAACACAAGACTTGGATTCCCCTGCCCAGGCCTGCCCTCCTGCCTCTCCTGTTCAGAGACCTGCAAGAGTCATGGGAACCTGGGTCCATCCCCTGCATCAGAGAGATGGAGAAACTGAGGCACAGAGTGGGCAGGACTTGCCCAAGACAAGTGAGTTAGTGGGGAAGCTGGCCAAGGTCCCAGGGCTCTCCTCTCCAGTGCCAGGAAGTGAGGACCCAGGGAGTACGTTTGGGTACCCAATCTGGAATTTGCTGAGAAAAGTCTATGGAGGTCACAGGGATGAAGTCAGCAGGACTGCAAGGCACCGAGGCACTGGTGAGCCATCGAGGGAAGGTGAACTAGGTTCTGCTGCTCAGCATAAGCTGGGGGAAGGGGCCTGGAACTTCCCGAAGTACTAAACATGTGTTTGCGATCTCATTTAATCCTCAGCAGCCCTGCAGCTTTCGGGGATACTGGCCCCTTTTGCAGATGGCCTCAGGGACGGTCTTGATTGGCCCTGAGGCTGAAGATCCTCTTTGGACTGCATGGTGGGGGAAGGAGGGCTGTGCCCCTGGCAGCATGTGGCGTCCAGCTGGCCTGGCCATGATGGTGGGCGTGGCCATGGTGGTGGGTGTGCAGGCCACTGGTGAAGGGCTCGCACTGGGTTTCATGAGCAGGGGTCGGGGACAGGTAAGCAGGGCCAGGAGGCAGGAGTCCTGAGTTCCTGGCCAGGCTTTGCTATAGATCCACAATATGATTTGGCCTCAGTTTCCCTAACTGTCCAAGGATGGCCTGGACATCCTAGAATCCTCACACAAGTCAGACCCTTGAGAGCAGATGAGGCCACAGAAATCCCTGGACTTGGGAGTCCCACAGTCCTGGGCTCTATCGTGCTGTAGGGCTGAGCCACTGAAGTGCTTTCAGCCTCACTTACTGCCTCTGTAAAATGGGGCTAAGGGGTGCAGGGAGGAGCTAATGAGATGCCATCTGCACATGCAGCTCTGGCCAAGTGGCCATCCCTGCCATTCACGGTCCTTTCTCCATCTGTGAAAAGGGGACAACAAGGCCTGCCCGAGTTGTTCTGTGACCACAGAACAGAAATGTATGGAGCAACAAGCACAGTGTCTGCAACACAGATTGGTAGAAAGTTCATTCACTTACGGGTCCACTCACCCCAGTCTTTTGGGCAGTGAGGTGAGGAATGAATGAAAACCTGATAGTAATTAATGCTGGAGGAAACTGTTCTAGCGGCTGCGGTGGGTATGGGTGGGAGTCCCCGTTACATCCAAGCAGATGAGCCCTTAGGATAGGCTTCTGTTGACCACAGCCCTCTCCACACCCTGGAGGGAGGGACAGCCTGAGGAACATGACAGATGGGGACTCAGCACCAGGTCACCTCCACCATTTTATAGATGGGAATAGCTGAGGCTAGAGAGGCACTGACTTTCCCAATGTCCCTAAGTGAGTTTAGTGCCAGAGCCAAGGCCAGAACTCAGAGCGCCTGATTCCTAGTTCAGTGCTCCTTCTGCTTGGACAACCCAAACCCCGGTGGACCCCCTGGAGGAGGAAAGCGAGACAAGCCCCAAGCAACTGGCGAGGGAAGGGCTGAGGATGAGGACGGTGTGAGGCACGTCAGGTGTGGGCCAGTCAGGGCCCGTCCCCCCGCACCCCCCACCATCGGGGCACGCTGGGTGGCCCTTTTCTGGCCAATGGTACAAGCACAACTATCTGGGGCTGGGTGGGGTGGGTGGTTACCTGTCTCCCCACTTCACTGTTGTGTAGACGCATCAGTTTATTGGCTTGGGATCCTGTTTTTTTCACCTTCATAGGAGCATCGGAAAACTTGGCCCCCATGAGGAGCCCGTAGCTGAGGTTGTCCGCACATCCTCCCCAGCGGTTCCCGGGCCCGGGTGGCTCACCTGGGACGGGGCCGCAGGAGCAGCCCGGCAGGTCGCCGGAGGTGCAGGCCCGGGCGATGGCGTGGCTGATGGCGGCGGCCGACAGCGCATACACGAAGGCCGACTCCCGGGTCCCTGGGGGTGGGAGGGAAAGGTCAGCTGCCCAGGTCAGAGGTCCTCCTCCTTCGCCCACACCCTCATGTAACCAAGGTGGCGCCAGCAGGGGTCGGCACTAGGGCCATTGAGCTGTCACCCCTGCTTCCCCAATTCCTTCCGAATATACCAGCTGACAGCCACACTCGACCCACACCCACAGGCATGCCCTTGCCCACGTCCTCCTACTCACACTCACAGCTCTGGGCTTTCACCCACTTGCCCTGCACTGGCGTTAGGGGATGCTTTACAGTAGTGAAGCCCAGGCTCTGAGCTCCTGATGCACCAGACAAATGCACAAAGGGTCTGCTGTGTGTGGACCCCTGTCCCCCTGAAGGATGTGTTCAAGTCCTGACCCCTGGACCTGTGAGCATAATCTTATGATGAAGTGGGGTCTTTGCAGATGTAATGGGGCTTAGACAAGGTCATATCAGATCAGGGTGGGTCCTAGGCCAGTGGCTGGTGTCCTTGTAAAAAGGGAATTTCAGATACACAGACACACAAAGAGGGAGCTTGCCCTGTGATGACAGAGGCAGAGACTGCAGTGACGCAGCTGCAAGCTAAAGAATGCCAAGGATGGCCAACTGCCACCAGGAGCTAGGGACGGGCCAGGAAGGATCCTCCTTGGCACCTTCAGGGGGAGCACGGCTCTGCTGACACCTCGATTTTGGACTTCCGGCCTCCAGAACTTCGAGACAATACACATCTGTTGTTTGCAAGCAGCTAGTTGTGGCCCATTGGACAGCAGCCCTGGGAAACAAATAGGGCACTCAGGAGCCTCAGCTGCGGGGTCCTGGCCATTGGTCCGAGCCCTGGCTCTGTCTCCTAACTAGCAAGCCACTTTCCCTTCTCCAGCCTCAGTTTCCTTAACTGTAGAATATGGGTGATAACACCTACCTCACAGGCTGGCTCTGGAGTTCAAATAATTCAGGAAGAAAGGAATTTGTCAAATATTAGCTGCTACTGTTTAGGACCCACAAGAAAAGTTATTACAGTGCAGGAGAGAGATTGCACCTACTGGGGCACTTCTGTCTGTCAAAAGCCTCCCTATTGTACATGGGTCCCCCAGACACCCCCCACCAGAAGCCACCACCTGCAGGAAGTCTTTGAGATGTTCTGTCTTTACACTGCTTTGTGCATGGTGCAACAGTTTCAGCAGCCCAGTTCAGTGTTACCTGTGGCACACCTGTCTGCCCTGAGGGTGGGCTCTATAGCATTCTTGTTTCTAGACTCCCCTCCCAGAAGCCTCCCTGACATGTGGCCTTAAGTACAGCAGGCCACAGCCCTGGCTCATTCCTTCATTCATGCATGGGGGCACACAGGTCCATGTGCTGTTCTTCAGGCTCCCCTGCACTGATATTGCCACTCATCTGTGTTTACTTATTTGTGAATTCATGCCTACACACCCATCTTATGATTAATTCATCCACCCATACCCCATTCATCCATGAATCCATCATCCACCCGCCCATGAACCCATCCCTCCATCTAAACACACACAGATCGATGCCTGAATTCCTTCACCCGCACCCACACGCATTTAGCAGCTTTGCCAGCTCCTACCTCTCTCCAGGTCAAGCAAATAGTTGGGGGCGAGCTCGATGGAGGAGCAGTTCCAGCGCATGTCGGCGAAGGCCCGGCGACAGGCCTTCATGACCTCACGGGCAGCGTGCACCACCGTGTGCATGAGCTCCAGGTTGCTGCGGCACAGCTGCACCTGTGCAGACACCAGGCCCTCCAGCTGCTTGCAGTGTTGCGTCTGGTTCAGTGCCAGGGCTGCTGGTGTCTTGGACAGTGCCCTGCACACCATGGAAAGGCCATGACCGATGGAAGGAGAGACAGGGTTATCAGGGGCCACATGGCCTCCAACCGCCCTTCTGACCCCAGCCTTTCCTTCAATGGACTTTGCCTCCTGGTTTCCTGGCTCCTTCCAAGAAAGGCTCCCAAAGTGCCGGCTGGCAGAGCAGTGGATTCCCCTCCCACCCCATGTGCCTTGGGCGCATCACTGTCCCTCTCTGGGCCTCAGGCCCTATTCATAACACAGGATCACAACCCCCATCCTACCTAAGCTTTATGATAATTATACGAACAAAACAGCTCTATAGTTCACAAAGCTCACCACCACCACCTGATTTAGTTCTCACACAGCTGTGAATTATTAGTCTTTATTCAACATTCATTCAACACTGAGCAGCTATGTGCCAGAAACCATGCGAAATGCTAGATTCTTATAATCACAATAATTATATATACTATTAACTGAAGCCTTACTAGATGCGCAACATGAGGTTGGAGTTTTCCATCATTGTTTCATGTGATTACTAAACCCATTTATTATGTTGTAAAGTCCCATATCCATGCAAGGAATTCCTAATAAAGGATTAAAGAGCCACTCAGTTTTGTGATGACCTGGAACTTGAAAATTTTAGTATCTAATCCAGACTTGGCCATTAACTCGTTGTGTGATGTTTGATAGTTCATTGCCCCTCTTCGGGCCTCTGTGTTTGTACTTATAAACTGTATTTCCCAGAATGGGCTCCAGTGAGACACTGACAAAAGGGACCCATTTGGGGAATACAATGTACTATGTCCCTGCTTGGAGAGTCAGGACGCATATTTACACTTTAAAGGCCCTGAGAAGTCCTGCAGCAAAGCAACAGGCTTGGTTTTGTTTAACTCAGGGAGTCTATTGAGTATACTGAGCACAGAGCCCTTTGCTTGAGGCTGCTGACCTCATCCATGCTTTGGGAAATGTTAGCCTAGTGGGTCTCTATGAACCCTGGTGATGTTAGAGGGCCCAAGAGCCTCCCAGATCCCAGCTCTGGGCACCTCGGTTCCAAGACTCAAGGACCAGGTTCCTCCTGGATCTGCTGTTCTCCTAGGCCTTCTCTGAGGGGCAGGCTGCATCGACGGCACTTAAGGACCCCACAACCCTAAAAGACTCCATATGGACTCACTCCCAGTCCCCCCACCCAAGCCGGGGCCGTCTGGAGCGCAGAGTCAGCTGGCCTTCAGCAACCCAGCAGAGACCCAGGAGGGACAGGGAACCAAGAGGGGCCACTGTGCAGCCAGAAGTGCTAAGTGCCCCGCCTGCTGTGGCCCCAGCGGTTCTCGCCCAGAGTCAGGGCTGAGACCTGGCAAGGTAGAGATCCTAGAACCCCTGAGCTGAGTTCTGAGGGAGGCAGCCCATTGCCAAGGGCACTGCACAGGCTTGGGTAGACTCCAGGCTAGTCACTCCCCTTGCTACCTTGAGCAAGTCACTTAACCTCTCCTCTCCCACCAACCTCCCAGTATTAACTGAGGGCTTAAATCAGACAATGTGTGTCACACGTTCTGCCCAGGGCTGACGCTCTGTGGTCAGTGGTCAGTGATGGAAGCTACTACAATTATCACCTTGGTGGTCTTTTCCTACCTGGGGGCAGCCTCCCTGGACCTGCCTAGTCAAGGCCAAGGGCTGCCACTTGACATTCAGAGCCCCTCAAAGCCTGGCCTCCCAGCTCTCCCCAGCTTCCCATCCTCATCCTGACATCCAGCTATACCAGGTTCTTGACTTCTCTGAAAGGAACTGTCTTGCCACCATGCCTTTGCCCAAGCTTTTCCTGATGCCAGGAATGCCTTTCCCCCTGCTTCTGGACATGAATGAATAAATGAACTTGATCTACTTGTGGAAGAAGTATTTTCTAAGCACCAACTCTTCCCAGACTCATTTGGTAATGAACACGACATAGATCCTTTCCTCAAGGATCCCCTAGTCTAACGGCTGGATAAAGCTATCAACAGTGATAAATCAATGACCCAGCTGTTCTCGCTCCTGGCCTGGCCCCAGGAAGAGCACAAGCTTTCAACACCAGCTGTGTGACCTAGGTAAGTTACCCAACCTCTCTGGGCTCCATGTTGCTCATCTGTTATAAAGAAATGATAAGGCCAGGCGCGGTGGCTTACACCTGTAATATCCCAGCACTTTGGGAGGCCAAGGCGGGGGCAGATCATCTGAGGTCAGGAGTTTGACACCAGCCTGGTGAACATGGTGAAACTCTGTCTCTACTAAAAAAATACAAAAATTAGCCAGGCATGGTGGCGCATGCCTATAATCCCAGCTGCTCAGGAGGTTGAGGCAGGAGAATTGCTTGAACCCAGGAGGCAGAGGTTGCAGTGAGCTGAGATCGCACCGCTGAGATCGCACCACTGCACTCTAGCCTGGGCGACAGAACGAGACTCTGTCTCAAAAAAATAAAATAAAATAAAAAGAGAAATAATTACTACTTCAAAAGGCTACGATGAGGCTGGGGGTTGTTGCTCATGTCTATGATCTCAGCTACTCTGGAGGCCAAAGTAGGAGAATCCTTTGAGGCCAGGAGTTCAAGACCACCCTGGGCAACATAGGGAGATCCCCCGTCTCTACCAAAAAGTAAAAAAGTAAAAAAGTTAGCCAGGTGTTGTGGTGCATGCCTGTAGTCCCAACTACTTGAAGGGATCACTTGAGCCTGGGGGTTTGAGGTTACAGTGAACTATGATTGCACCGCTGTACTCCAGTCTGGGTGACACAGTGAAACCCTGTCTACTGGAAAAAAAAAAAAAAAAAAAAAAAAAAGGCTATGGTGAGACTTAAATAACAGAACGTAGGCAAAGTGTTTTAAACATTCATAGATGTGTAATCCCAGCACTTTGGGAGGCCGAGGCGGGTGAGCCATGAGGTCAGGAGATCAAGACCATCCTGGCCAATGTGGTGAAACCCGGTCTCTACTAAAATACAAAAAAATTAGCTGGGTGTGGTGGTGTGTGCCTGTAGTTCCAGCTACTTGGGAGACTGAGGCAGGAGAATCGCTTGAACCTGGGAGGCAGAGATTGCAGTGAGCCGAGATTGTGACACTACACTCCAGCCTGGCGATAGAGTGAGACTCCATCTCAAAAAACAAAACAAACAAAAAATTCATGGATGAAGCTAAGTCCCCCGCTTGTTGCCTAGCAAGTGCTGGACCAGACAGAGTGAGAAGGTCTGGGTTCTCACTCAAGCTCTGTCCTCTATGTGCTGGGCAAACTTGGGCAAACTATTGCCCCTCTCTGGGCATCACCTACAACGTGGGGACCTCTCAGGGTCTTGCCAAGGCTGAATGATATGTGCTATGATAAGTACTCAATAGGTTCCTTCACTTCCTCCTGCCTCTCATGCTCTGCCATGCCCACCCACCCTATAACCCCCCAAAATAAAAACCTTCCCAGAGACCCAGAAAGCAGGGCCTGGTGCCTGTGGTTAGGGCAGTGCGACTCGCCCTGTGTAAGATCAACTGTGGTGTCCAGGGCAGTCTCCCCTCACTGCCACCCCCTGAACTATGAGCCGGGAAATGTTTGGTGTGTCTAGATGCCAGCATATGGCACAGGGTGGGCCACACAGCAGCCCTCAGATGCGGTTTCTTGACCTAAATGAACTACTCTGGCCTGCCCTGGCCTCACCTTCTTGGGGAACCTGTTGCTGAACCCGGCCGTAATTCCTGGCGGGCTGTGACCACACAGAGGCACACGTCATCACCTCAGTGTGTTTCCTGGTTGTCAGCAGCCCTTCCACCTCCACCCAGCAAACCCTGTCCCTGCATGAGGTGTCATCGCAGGGTAACAGCCCCACATGGGCATGGCCCTTCCTGGTTGACACAGCCTCCCACTTCACACCTCAGAGGGCGGCCCGGAGGGGATGATCAGCTCTGCTTAAGGGGCTGTGCTTGTCCAGCACCCCCCAGCAGGCCCCGTCATCCTTCTCAGTGAGGCTGTCAGTCCCTGCAGGCACTGGGGTCACTTCTCTCTGGGTTCCCACTCTGCTTTACTCTGGGTGGTCCCCACCCAGCCCGTCCTGAGCCCGCTCTGCCGCTCGCCCTCGCCCAAGTTTCCTCCCGCTCCTTCTGAGCCAGCTTCCTCCATTTTCAAATGAGAAGGATGACGTGGGTGACAGCACATCAGCGTGTGGCCTAGCAGCAGGCTCATGGCACATGGTGGGCGTTCAGGCAGCGAAGGCGGCCTCCCATGTCTTTCCCTGGGCTCCAGCTCAAGCCACGGGGGGGACGATGGGGGCCGAGCCTCTTCCCGGAGAGTTCAGTGCAGACAGCTTGTGAGTGCTGGGTGCTGCAGCTCTCAGGGAAGGGAGACTGGTGTTCCTGGCGCCTGGGTCTCCTTGGCTGGGACCCTGGGGTGAGCCCTGGAGCCACCTTGGGTCTCAGTTTCTCCAACGTCCTGAGAAGGCTGAGGGAGAAGGTGCTGTCAGAGCACCTTCCAGATGAAGGTCAGACTCCCCAGGTGGCCCGAGGGTAAATGAGAAGCAGATCCAGAGGTCTTGGTGGGCATAGAGCAGTGTGAAGGCCCAGGGGCCCGCCTTGGAGGCTGAGGCTGGGACAGGAGCAGGCTGCCATGCGTGCCAGGGAGGCCACCCGCCCACCGGGGCTGCAGGCAGAGATCGCAGGCGGGAGGCAGCAGATTCCACTCCCGAGGAGGGCCATGCGGTCATCTGGTAATTAGTGGTAATGACTGTTTCCAAATAAATCCCCCTTGGGGAGGTAATCAAGGATTAGGACGGGAGGCGGGGGAGTTCTCCTTGTGGACATCTCGCTCGCTTCACTCCAACAGACCCCTAATTGGAAACATTTCAGTTTATCTGGGGGTGGGGGCCTGGGGGAGAGGGTGGAAGAAAGGACAGGAGGGAACGCAGAGTTCACAGGCAAGGCCCAAGCTCAGGGCCCTACCGGGGTGGCGAGGCCTCCTCTCATTCAGGAGTTGGGGGCCTTGCTGGGACTGGCTGGGGCAGAGACCTGGGTTCAAGCTTTAGCTCAGCAGCTCTCTCCCTATGCGACCTGGGGCAAGTCACTGCCCCTTGCTCCACCTCAGTTTCCCCATCCATACTGCTCAATGCCCAAGAACAATGTAGGCTCTGACATTGGTAACACAAGCTGTCAAATGACTTCACTGAGGTATTTTCCTGGTGGTGCCAGCAACTCTACCCTCAGGCCGCTCTGGGGCACCTAGCCCAGGTAAGGCACCCTCAAAGGAGGGCTTCCTTCCTGGACCTGCACTTCACAGCATCCCTCTCCCTCTAGGCACAGGGGTCAGGTCACATGAAGAATTCTAGGCCAGAGACCTGGGAGCTGGGTTCAGGCTCCTTTAAGTGACCTGGGCCCCAAGGTCCCTCTCTGCAGTTCTGCAGCCCAGCCGCCCACGGTGCGGAATGATATTGCCAGCTCATTTCCAGGCGAGGCTTCGGCAGAGCTGGGCTCAGAGGGCCTCAGAAGGTGCCCCCACCAGCGCCACCCAAAATGTAGCCCGGCAGCTACCAGGAGAGAGATGGGATGAGGTCAACAGCTGGGGTGGGAGAGACCCTGATGCCCACATCTGTGCTTCTGGGGTGAGGAGGAGGCTGGTGAGAGCTTCGGGCTGGCTTAGGGACTCAGTATTGCCCTGGAAGACCTGTGCTTCTGCATCTGTGGAGCCTGCTGACCCTGAGGTGGGAGAGCAATGGAGTTGAGGAGACCCTGTTCTCCCAGACAGACTTTTGTCCCTCCCCTGCCCATGTACCTTTGGGCTTTCCTGGGCCCACCTCATCCTGGTGCCCACGTGGCAGGGAGGATGGAGCAGGAACCCGGGCTATAGGCCACCTAGGCAAGCCCAGCCTCTCCCCAGGCTTCCGTCTGTTCCCCTGGGGTAACCATGGGGAACCTCTCCCTCCATGATTCCTCAACTAACTCCTCAATTAGGCGCCAGGTCCAGGAACCAGGGGGAGGTCTAGGAGCTTTGGAAGTGACCCTTCTTCACCAGCCACCCTAGCTTGGGGCTGCAGCTGCCTGTCCAGGAAGAAGAAGCCCTTGGGGCCCCATAGCCTGAGAGTCCTCCTATTCCCTCCTAGGCTTTGTCCCAGGACTCCAGAGTGAAGAGGGATCCATCCAGCCCTTGTCCCCACTGTGTAGATAGAGAAATGGAGGCTGATGAAGCGTCGGGAGCCTGCGGATCCAGCCCTGCCTGGAAATGACACTGGGTCCCCTTCACACCCGACTGCCCAGACCTCAGAGGTGGAAGCCCGTCCCCTTGGCCTCACACATGCTGACCCACCTGTGCAGCCCATCTTGCAAGGTAAAGCCCTAACAGGCCTTGGTCTGACGCTTCTCAACCAAGAAGCCAAAGGGGAGCTGCCACAGCGTCACCAGCTCCCATTATGCAAGTGGGGAAACTGAGGCCTGGAAAGGGCAGGGCTTACCCAGATCTGTACACAGCCAATCAGAGGCAGAGACAAGCTAGACCCCAGGCCTCCCGCATCCCGAGGTAGGGCTCCTTCTACCTCTATCTTAGAGCTGAGGAAACTGAGTCTCAGAAAAGCTAAAGCGATTGACCTGCAGAACTCAGGCTGGGCCTCGCAGTCCCAGTCTGGCACCCTACTCTGCAGCACCATGGCCCTCTGGAGCCTCCTGGCCCCACCTCCGTGGGAGTGGCAGATGTGGGACTGCCCAGGGAAGGGGGCGGCCTGTATGGATGTTCCCAGCCAGCCTGGGCCTTTCCTCTCACCCCATCGCTTCCATGGTTCACAGGAGAGTGGGACTCCCCTCAAACCCTCCCACTACCCAGGGAAGCCAAGAAGCGGGTGGGCAGCCTAGACCTGGGACCCCGAATACTTGAGGGGCTGGGAGTCTTCTGGTGCCTGGCCTGGGTGGAGGTAAGGTAGGGAAGGATCCCCAGGTTATTTCTGGGCAGGTGCCTCTATGGGCAGCCAGGTTCTGATCCCCTCTCCCCAGCTCCCCATCCCACCAGCTCAGCCTGCGTCTCACGCACCCACCAGGTGAGCATTCCAGGCCACTGGGCCATGTTGGCTTTCAGTTCCTGTGTCAAGCACCCCTTTCATCTCCAGCTCACTCTCCAAAGCCCAGGCCAGCAGAGGCTCCTGGGCGAGTCCCCGGCTTTCCAGCCTTACTGAACACTTTTCTGCTCCCAGCTGTGCTGGGGCTCACTGTGCCCAACAGGCCACAGAGCCAGGCAGCTTAACTCAAACCCTGCCTCCTCTGAGCTGTGACACACTGCTAGAGTCCCCCACGCCTCTGTTTCCTCTTCTGTGCAATGGCGGTAATAGCAGCACCCACCTCACAGGGTGGTTGGGATATTTAAATGGAACAATATACATAAAGCACTTAGAATGGTGCCTAGCACGCAGTGAGGCTGTGTGTGTGTAGACATATATGTACATATGCATACATATATGCACGTGGCCTACACATGTGTATCTATATCTACACATATACAATGCACACATAGATAATTGTTATTCTTACACTCTACCCCTTTTCCCACCTCTCTTTAATCCTCTCTTGCTAGACTATCACCTTCTCATAAGAGTGCAGTATGATCTAAATTAAATGACCCAGGCTCTTGGAGCAGCGTCTGGGGCACTTAGGAGTAGGCTCTTGTGGTGCCTGGTTTCTCCAGGTCTCCCCGCATGCACTGTATGGTCTCCGGGGCTTCTGCTCATGCTGTGCCTCTCGCCTAGGATGCCTGCTTTGCATTCCATCTCTGACTGTCCAGATCCTCCCTGTCCTTCCAATCTTGGCCCAGGCACCTCTCTTACGTAGAACTGACCACTCCTCCTCTGGGCTGCCATGCTCCCTCTGCTAGGACACAGACCATAGTCCACTTTGTATTTCTATATGTCCATCTCCCCCAAGAGGCTGGGGGCTTCTTTAAGGCACACAATGAGTCGCACCCATTTCTGTAGCAGCCTGACTGCAGTGAGGACAGAGGACATGGATATCACGGTTAGCCAGCCGTCCATCCCACCACGTGCCAGCATGGGGGCTTGTGTGCATCACGCCCTTTGCAGGGCCTCAGTGTTGCCACTGTGGAGCAGGGATGAGCGTAGTGACCCTACAGGACTCTCATAGCAAATGCCACCCAAGCCCAGGGCAAGGCCTCTGACGCTCCTTCAGCCAATCCTCTCCTTCCCTGGACCTTAGTATCCTTATCTGTAAAATAGCGGTGGTGGATGAGAAAGCTTGGACTCGCTGATCGGAGGTCCCTGCCAGCTGGAACAGTGCTGGGTACCCCGTAGCAATACGAAGGTGGCTGATTTCTCACAGAACTCCTCAGGGACAGCTGGGAAAAGCTAGTGCCCAGGGCCGGAAGACCGCTGAGACCAGGCTTCTTCTTGTAAACAAGAAAGGCAGGAAGACGGGGTTCCCTCCTCGAATCATCAATTAATCAATAACTTGGCCTGAGAAGGGGCAGGGCCAGTGACCTCCAGACTGTTTGCTGGTGGCGCAGCCACTATCACCCTGTCTTCCAACTAATTCACAAATCCTCTGCAGCGCCCTCCCCAGCCCCCACAATCTGCCCCCTGCTGTCTTATCTGCAGGCTCCCTGTCCCAGCCCCAAACTCCAGACCCTTGTCCTGTCCTGGACCTTCCCTCTGAGCGAGGCCCTCTGCCCACAGCGTCCTCCTCTCCATTGCCCCAACCAGCCAACTCCTGGCAGTGCGTCAGTCACTAGGGCAGAGCCCCGGAAAAGCTTCCTGGTGTCTCAAATCTGTGTCCCCACCAGGTGGGCTTCCTTCCTCTAGGACCCCAGAACCCCCCTCTGGTTTCTCCTCCAGCACTTGGACACTTATGGAGTTATTTACAGCCTGGGCTTATCTCTCTTAGCTTAGAGGGCAGCTCCTCCAGGAAGGGGCTGGCATTTACTCCTCTCTTCACCACTTCCAGCCCCCTGAGCAGGCACTCCCTTCAGCTCGGCACCAAGCCTCTCTCTCCCTCTTACCCCTGCCTGAATAATTTCTATCTAAAGGAATGCCCTGCACATGTGCACAGCGGCATCTGACAGCTTCTGAGGTCCTTTCAGGAGACTCTTCTCATCTGATTTCAGTGAGGTGGAGAGTCTCACCCTCCTGTGACAGAGGAGGACAAGGAGGCCCCAAGAGGTAGAGTGACACTTTCCCAAGGTCACCCAGGTGGAGGGGTCAGGAGTGTCTCAGCGGAACTCCCGCTAAAGTCAAGGAGACTGACTGACAAGGAACACTCCTGGGCTGGCCGCTCTGGATTGCACCCCCTGAACAGAATGTCTTTTTCCATCTGCCCCTGCTGAGGTGGCCAGAAACTCCGCGGCCCTTGGGCCACCGTCAGCTGCACAGGACCAGGCGCTTCCGTTGCGGTCCATGCCCGTCCCACTCCCTCTTCGCAAGCCTCCGGGAGGTAGGGACATTTTACAAACGGAGGCTTAGGGATGATTTGCCCACGACCGCCAAGCCAGCTTGGGCTCCCGGGTCTTGGTACGCTCGCACCATCCAGGGGACCCCATAACGCCCTCCGCCGCCCCAGTCCCCGGCCTGTGCGCGTGGATGCGGGGTCCCTACTCACAGCCACTTGATGCCATAGCATACGCCGGTCTGGAGCGCCAGGGCGAAGAGCAGCGCCTCGCAGACCTGCGGCCGCGCCCTCATCGTCGCGCAGCGGGCGCGCCCGGGGTCACACCCAGGAGGAGCCGCGCTGAAGTCCTCGCCTGCACTGCCGCTGCTGGTCCCGAATGCCGCCTGCAGCCGGGAAGAGCGGAGGCGGCGGGTTAAGGCCGCGCGCGGGCGGGGGAGGCGTTTTATTCAAATTACAAAGGAGGGGTCGGGGCCCGGGGAGGCCTAGCGCAGCGGGCGTCCCCTCCCGCTCCGCCCGGCCCGGGGACGCGTCCCGCGCCTGGCTCGAATTAGGCGCGGCCGAAGGCGTGTCCCCTGCGGGGCCTGGGGCCCTAACGCGCTTTCGCGCCCCTCCGGCCGGGACAGCCGAAAGGAGGGACAGGAGGCGGCAGAACCGGAGACCCCCGGAGAGACCGGGCAGACACAGCGAGAAGGACAATGACGCTCAAGAAGACAAGGCTGAGAGCCACGGAGGCAGAGGGGAAACCGGGACAGACGCAGACGTGGGACCGAAAGGAGAGGAATGAGGAATCAGGAGTCCGGGCAAGGCAGCAGCGTCGAGGCCCCGGTGCTGGGGCTTATCCCCGCAATATTGATCATTAGTTATTAGGGCCTCGGCAATTCTCCTTGCCAACCGTGCCTCAGTTTACCTCCTCAGTACGCTGGGGCAGTTCGGGCACAGTTCCGCTTTTATAAAGAACGTTCCCTGGCCGGGAAGGGTGGCTCACGCCCGTAATCCCAGCACTTTGGGAGGCCGAGGCGGGCGGATCACCTGAGGTCAGGAGTTCGAGGCCAGCCTGACCAACATGGCAAAACCCCGTCTCTACTACAAATACAAAAAATTAGCTGGGCATGGTGGCGGGCGTCTGTAATCCCAGTTACTTGGGAGGCTGAGGCAGGAGAACCGCTTGAACCCGGGAGGCGAAGGTTGCAGTGAGCCGAGATTGCGCCTCTGCACTCCAGCCTGGGCTACAAGAGCGAAACTCCGTCTCAAAACAACAACAACAACAACGACAACAAAAACTTTCCTAACACGATCGTATCTGCTCCTCCCAGCACCCCGTGGGGTAGGTACTATCACTGCCTGATCTTACAGATGAGGAAACTGAGGCGCAGAGGTGGAGTTGTTCAGCTAGGGAGCGGCAAGCCTGGTGTCTGGCGAAATCAGGAAATGGGGCTTGCTCGGGGCCCCTCTTTCTCGCTGTGGGAAGGGGAGGATGGGAAACGGGATGGTAGGGCTCTTTGTACAGGGAGGATTCGGAGTCTCCAAGACAGTCTTTAGCCGCCCCACTTTGGAGGGTGGGGGTGGGGGCGTGCGAGCCGGGACTGGGCAGCCCAGCCTTGGCGAAGCGGGGAAGCTCGCGGGGCTGGCGCGGTGTTGCCTCTGGCCTCCAGGCGGCGCCCGCGGGCCGCGAAGGAGCCGCTGCCCCGCCCGCCCGCAGCCCGCTGAGCCGCTTTCTCCGCTTTTTTTCTCCTTCACTTCATTCTCACCTCATTAACTCCCTTCCCAGCTTCTCCCAAATTTACCAACACCTGGCGTTCGCCCGGAGTCAGACACAGCCCCAGCCTCTCTCCCCTCGAGAGGAGCAGAGACAAAGGGATTCCTTCCTAAGGGTTTGGGGAGTTGGAAAAGGAGGCGCCCACGGTAGTGAGGGGCGCTGGAGCAGAAAAGGGACGTTCCTATCTGGCTCTGTGAGCTTGAGCAAGCCCTCAGCCACCCCAGCCTCGGTGTCCCATTTCATAAGAAGGAGTAACGGGGCTTCACCGTGTGTTCCCCGAGGACCCCGTCTCCCTGCAGCCTGCGGGGCTCCGCGCGCCTCTGCTGTTTGCACCGCGACGCCACCTGCGTGGCGCGTTCCTGCACGTGGGTCGTCAGCGCGCACAGAGGGGAAGCCCCACTGTTTTCTGGAGCCTGTCGGCAAAACTCACAGGAAGGCGAGGAGAAGCCTGGATCTCACGGTTCTTTTCCTCCGCAGAACCCCTTAGCTAGCGGCCAGAACAAGGGCGCCTGCGACAAACATGCCGTCAAGGCTGGGGGTTTCAGCGGGGTTCGCCGTGTAACCCAGCCCCGTCCTCCCACCCAGCCTGTATCCAACTCTTTTGTCTTCCTGGTTCTGCAAGTTTCCCGCACTTTTCAGAACAAGAAAAATATCCTCTGGATATGGAGGAGGGAATCAAAACTCCAGTCACCGTCTTCCCCTCTCCCAAAGTGAGCCGCCCCGCGAAGGCACCCGGCATTCCTGAGTGGGGAGGGGGCGGGGGCTGCACGAGGACGGAGGCGCGCGGACTCACAGCGGGGGATCTGTGCCCAGCCTGGTCTTCTAGGGAGAGGAGGAGCGGCCTAGGTCGCACAGCGGACGGGGACCCAAGGCCTCCAGCCCCGCCCGGCTCTTTCGGTGTAGCTCCGGCTGTCCCAAGGCTCTCCCTCCGCCGCCCAAGCTCGTCGCGGGGGGAGGCAGCGCCTGGCCCGAGCCTCTGGGTCCTGACGCACTGTTCCTGTCCTTTGTACGAGCGCCCGGGAGAGCCGCGCGGGCCGTGGGGTCACTCTCCGCCTGAGCCTGCGGGTCGGGGTGCACTCGCCTCCCGAAGCCCTCAGCCCGCCAGGGGGCGCTAAGCCGGGGCTCGGGTGGGGGTCGGGATCGCGGCTGCCACCCGCATCACGGGCTGGGGGCAAGTCCCCTCCACTTCCTGGGCCCCCGCTTCCCCGTCTGGGGGTGGAACGAGGTGTCGAGGGAGTGCCCCCTGTGTCCTGGTCGTTCTATAGGACACTTGCCGTGGGCCGCCCTGACCTGCCCGACCCCTTGCTTGGAGCCGGGCGCGTAGTGGGCCGCGCCAGGCGCAGCACCTTTGGAGAGCGAGCGGTCACCTCCTCGAAGTTAGTCCGAGCTACGCTGCCTGCAGGGGGCCGGGAGGCGCCCGCCTGGGGCTGTGCACGGGGAGGGCACCACGAGCGCAGCGCCGCAGCCCAGCGCCGCCAACAGGTGGTCATAGGCCCGGGCTATGAAGGGCTCTGGAAAGCCCGCTGCTGGGACCAGGCCACGCCAGCGAGGACTTCGGGGCCTCCCCTACCCCGATGCCCCGCGAGCACCCTGCACCGGGGCCGATTGTCCGCGCGGCGCGCAAAGTCGGCACCGGCGGGTCCCGAAGCCTCCCGCCGCGCAGCTCACGGAGCTGACCCCGCCAACCAGGGACGCCAAGCGACGGCTTCAAGGTTACCTGTGGGCCAGGGAGGCCGGGGCGGCCACCCGGCTTTGACCCCAGCCGCGAAGCTTTCAAGAGACGTCTGCTTGGCTGCGCACGCGGCGCCGGGTCACCCGGGAGATGGGTTGTTTTGGAAGTGGGAAGGGTGGGTGGGGGCACTCGAGATCCCTCCTGCTAACCCCCTGGAGGGGGGCCCTGCACGCCCAGGGTCTTGAGGGACACCGAGGCATTTCAGCCCGGCGGGTGGGAGGCGTGGAGCTCGTGCGCGAACTTAGCCAGATGTTCGGGGCGGTTCGAGATGTGCCGCGGGGCCGGGGACAGGACTTTTTCCTCCCCAGCCCCCAGCCTGGAGCTCAGGTCAGTAAACAAACTCGGTTCTCCCGCTCCCCCCGCCGCCCCTGGGACCTGTTCTCAAAGTCAGGCGTCTGCCTCCATCCCCAATTTACTAGGCGCTGCCGCATTTCTCTGCCTTTTGCCACCCTCTCCCCACCACCACACACACCCTCTGTCTCGGGATCCAAGTCCCCCACCCCCGGGGGTGGCTCGGGCATGACCTCATCCACGGGACGACTGGGAAGGAGGGGGTCGCCTGGGGTACAGGAGCAGAAGAGGGGAGCCGGGCCGGGAAAGTTGGAGGAGGGCCGCAGGAACCGCACAACCCACCCCCGTCCCGCGTCCCCCTAAACCCCGCGTCCCCCTAAACCCCGCGTCCCCAGGCTCCCGCGGCTGCGCTCCGCAAGGGGGAACTTTTCGGAGTGCTGCGGAGGAAAGGTATGCAGGAGCGCTTGGTTTGCTTACCCGCGAGTGGGAGCCCAAGGGGGTCGTGGCGGGTGTGAGAAGCGTCGTCTCCCTCCGACTCGGGCGCCCCCAGCCCTAGCCGGTCCCCGCTGAGCAGCTGCCCGCTGCCCGCAACTACTGCTTACCTTCCGGGGCGCTCGCCAGGCGCGCCCTGCGTGCCCGGGTGCCCTGGCCTGCCCTGGGAGCCGCGAGCGCAGTTTCCAGTGGGCCCGTGCGCACTCCGGCTGGGCTAGCGGCGGAGGCGCCCTCTTCGTGAAGCAGCGCCGGAAGGACGCCAGGGATCCTGGCAAGCTGCGGCCGGCTCAGGACCCGCGCGGAGTCAGGCGCGGACTCCAGCTGCTCTCGGCTGCGCTCAACTCCCGGGGCCTGTGCTCGCCGCTCGCCGGAGCTCTCCTCCTCGCCCGGTGCGATCTCCGGCGCGGGCCTCCCAAACTGCTTTATAAGGCGGGCGGCCGCTTTGATCCGCCCACGTCAGCGCGCCGCAACCCCACCGGGTGGCCCCGGCCGCGCGCTGGGGGTGGGGGCGGGGTCCCCGCGGACGCCACTGACCTGCAGCGCCCGCCGCTCCAGAGAAGTTTGTACTCTGTCGAGTTACAAAGGGGGACTCGCTCACTACAGCTGTTGTTTACTAAGCGTGCGTGCTGCGTGCCTGCGACACGCGTGGGGCCCGGGTAAGGCCCATCTCGAATAGTCGCAGCAACCAGGCAAGGAGCCTCAACTCGCAGGGGGAAGTCAGACTTGGGTCTCAGTCTGGAGCTGGGGCATCCTTAGGTGCTGGTCGCGCAGCGTGGTTACTATAAACGTCTGAGGTCCCGACACCTGCCTTCGTGTCCTGGTCCAGGTCCTTCGGGGGACCGTCTCTTTTGGCCTCTGGTTCCAGTTGTGGGAAAGGAATCAACGATCCTGCAGGAGAAAGAGACACGAGGACTCCGCGCTACAAAGCCCGCTGTAAACCTTAAGTGTGGAGCTGGGCGGCGGGTCCCAGCCGCTGGGGTGACTGCTGGGGAGTGTTCTGGACACAGGGGAGGCGGAGCAGAGGAGGACTGGGTTTCAGAAGCTAAAGGAGCCTAGACAGGCGCCTGCTGCACTGTGTAGCCCAGGCGTGTGGTGCTTCTGGGACCACTTCCTCCCATCACTTGGCCTCCCCTGAGGAGACCAGCTGCTTACCCTACAACACCACTACTATTTCTAACTGCCCATCGGGTGCTGTGGGTTCATCTGCGTCTCCCCCTTCTTCTAGGGACCTCAATCCCAGGACGTCCTCAAGGATAACTGGTTCATTAGCAGAAAGGGAAATGGAGACTTAGTGAGGACACGGAGCCTGTCTCAGTTCCCGCAAAATGCCTGACATTCTTTTCCCCATTCTTTGCAGCTGCAGATGAAGTGGCACTCCTAGGCTGCCCCACACCCAGCCACAGGTACCTCCATATACAACACAAACATCTGGGCCTACAGTGCCCACAGCAGCCTCCCAGCCATACCAGCACTCCCACACAGCCAGTCCTCACACACAGCCAGGGGCATATCACCCCACAAATGGTTACAAACACACTCGGGAGATACCGGGACACATCATCTGCCCTCACACACAATAGCACAGAGGTGTGAAATGGCCTCACACACGTCAGGAAGGGGAGGCTGCACACAGACCACCTGCGCCCACACAGTTGATGTGCAAACATGCACGGGCTTCCATGCACACACAGCTCCCAAGTGTACAATGCCAAACATGTACTCCTGCACACAATCACAGGAATATCCTTTGGAACACACGCTGGGACACCCCCATCTCTTATGCCAGAACACTGGGGCAATCTGATCAAAAAAGCAGTGGAAAGACAGTGGGGCTTGGGGCATTGAGGAAGGGAGGAAGGGCGGGGAGCTATTCCACCTAAGTGGCAGAGGGCAAAGGCCTCCGGGAGCCCAAGAGTGTCCTTAGCTCCCCTGCCTCAGGCCCCCTGGCCACTTCAGTCAGAGCCATTCCAGGTGGCCTCTGTCTGTTTGGGATGCACACCCCTCTGCTCATTTAAGAGGCTCAGTCAGTTGCCTCCAAACATTTCCAGCAGTTCTCCTGCCAGAAATCCTCTGGCTCCCAGCTAGAGTAGAAACAGAAGCAATTTGGAGTCATGTAAACTTGGATTCCAATACAGATTTTGCCCAGTTTTATTTTTAGCTGTGTAATCTTGAGCAAGTTGCTTAAATTCCCCGAGACTTAGTTTTCTCACCCATAAAATGGGAATAATACAATCCCATGGAATCCTCTACTTCCCCAAGATCAGGATTAGTATTCCCATTTCACAGATGTGGAAGCTGAGGCTCAAAAGGGAGCTGATATTTGAACCCAGATCTCTCTGGCTCAGAGTCCACTATGGCTGGTGGCTCCCAGTGAACACATGGGGGAAGGATAGTGACTTTCCATTGTCTTGTGGGGAGTTGAAGGAAACCAGGAGAACATCCTATACTCCTGAAGCTCAGCCCTGCCCCCTCCTGCCCCCTGCCAGCTACTCAGCTGTGTCCTTTGGATCAGGACCCAGGCATCATCAGCTAGGGCTGGAAACCTGCCTGGGGGTAGGAGTAGGGGGAAGGGCTATGAGAAAGTGATGCCAAAAGCTTGCATTGAAAATCAAAGGAGACTTGGGGTGAGGGTCTGCCCCTCCCTGCACCCAAGTCTCTCCAAGTGTATAATAGGCAGTACTTGAGAAGAATTTTGTTTTCATCTTTAGAACCAACTGACCTTCCCCCTTCCCTCTGTCCAGTCCTCCTCAAGTGCCACTGCGTATCTGGCCTGTGCTGGCCACCTGGGCTGCAGACTCCTCTTCAGAAGGGATGAGGCCCCAAGCCCCTGGCTGCTGCCGCTGTGGACGTGGATGTGAATATATTTTTCTTCTCAATCAGCCCAGGCGATTCTGGTGATCTGATCGCCCAGACATGCTGGGGGCTTCCTGTCAGCTGGCTTCTCAGCCCCTGCCTGACTGCCATTGGCCAGGGGCACACCCCTTTCCCCCCACCCCCATCCCTGCACCAGCCCTGCCCAGGGAAGCACCCAGGCTGAAAGGACATGGAGGTGAGGGCGGACACAGTTCCGTTTGCCATGCTGACCTCTAGTGACCCCTCTGCCCACCTCAGCTTCCTTCCCTTAGGCCAAAGCCTTGGTGGAGATGGTGGGGGCAGTCACCTCTTTCCAGGGGCGCCGGATGGGGGTGCAGGAGAACTGGTTGCAGTCCTGAGCCCTGTCACTAGTTTGCTGTGTGAGTCAGGTGGTTATTTTGCTTTGTCTGAGCCCCAGTCGCCCATCTATAAGTGAAGGGTTGAACCTCTAAGGGCCTTTTCTGCTCTAGAACCCGCACATCTTGGGGCTCCTGACCCAAGGATGCTGTGTGACCACAACCCAAGATGTCCCCCAGAAGCCTTCTCTGTCTTCCCTAAGCCCACTACCCATACTCGGACCTCAGCACTTTATGCCTCCCACAGCAACGAAGGCTGGTCCAGAGAAAGTCGAAACCAGTCAGTAAGGAGAAGGGTCAAGATCACCCACCCTGGGCAACGACTTTGCGGTGTGTGAAAGGGGGATGTGGTGGGGCCCTGCTCAGCTCACTGCTGTCACTTCACCAAGGGAATCAAAAGAGAGTGACATCTAGGTGCAGTGGCTCATGCCTGTAATCCCAGCACTTTGAGAGGCCGAGGTGGGTGGATCACTTGAGGTCAGGAGTTCAAGACCAGCTTGGACAACATGGTGAAACCCCATCTCTGCCAAAAATACAAAAATTTGCCAGGTGTGGTGGCAGGCACCTGTAATCCCAGCTACTTGGGAGGCTGAGGTAGGAGAA